TCAAAGAAGAAGAAGAAAGGTGTCACAGCAATAAAGGCAAAGAAAAATAAACGTGTAATGTACAAAAACTAATAAAAACGTTCGTAATAATAGTATTTTGTACGATTTGGGCACGCCGAGTGCGAAAATACACGAAATAGAGGGAAAATTTAGTGAATTGTACATCGGAAATCGACGCGAAAAAATCGCTGAAGTGTGCGCACGTTTGCGGATTCGAAGTTAACAGCCGAATTCGCAACGTATTCGCAACGACACAATCGCGCCAATGTGCGCTTCGCTTAAAGCTCGTCGGCGATTTCAAGCATCCGTTGTTGGTTACCCCAGCAACGAGTACATGTGTGAGTGTCGGGTTGAATGTCGGGTGCTTGAAGCTTGCCCGGCGACACTCAAGCATAAAGCGTCAACACCATTTGCAATAAAATTTCGTAGTGGGCGGACGTAAACATGTCTTCATCGGATGACGATTTTTTGCTACTTGCCACTGCATTGGGGTATCTTTCCTTATATATTTCCAGCAGAATGTCGTATTGCTTACACTTTTCATCGCGGTTGGAATATGCTTCGCACTTAGTATTCCACAAAGCGGGTAAGGACGCATAAGTTTCAATAAACCGCAACGTAAAATCTTTATCTTCCGCGAACTTGCTCATTTTACATATCACAACAAACTAACACACTAATGCTTGTCAACGCTTTGCGCCACTATCAAACAGACCGCTTGTCAAGCAGTCGCGTTGATGGAAAATCCAAAACTTTTGATTTTCCATCAACACGAGCCGACAACAAGTACGTGTGACACGACGATCTCCGATTGCCTCGGTTGCTGGGGTAACCAACAACGGATGCTTGAAATCGCCGACGAGCTTAAGCAGTGTTTGCATTATTCAACTTTGCGTTCAACAATTGCGTTCAACTCAAAGCAGGGTTGCACGAAAAAAAAGTTGAATGGCTAAATGTTGGCTGGCGACCAACTTTGTTGAAAGCGATTAGTTGCAAGGCCATTCAACCAAAAGTTGAATGCAAAGTTGAACAATGCAAACACCTTTTTATGGCGAATATTTTGATATTTTTTCATATTTTGATATTTTTAGCCATTCAACTTTTTTTTCGTGCAACCCTGCGCTGAGTTGAACGCAAATGTTGAACGCAAAGTTGAACAATGCAAACACACTTTAAATGAAAGCTCTGTGTACATTTTTAGCGCATAATATCAAAAATGCCAAATTTTGAGTTGTGCCTCTTTCGAAGACGGTGTGAGATATGTATGTATGCACATATGTAGTTAAGCGTATGAAAATACAATTTCATTTCTTTATATGATTTTAAAATGCTTGAAAACGGCATAAAAAACAAAATCATGGCCGACGAATTGAGAGAATTAATTTACCTTGGAATGTTTTTATCATGGAAAGATCGTTCAACTGTTAAATTCAGATCCATCACCGGCGGATTGGGCCTTCATTAGTTTTGTGAAAGACAGTTTACTACTGGGTAGAATAAACTAAATACAAGTGTTTACATACAAGTACATATTTATATATGTACATACATGTACATACATATACATACGAGTATATGTATAACGTATGCCCACACAACTTGTTTATTGAAGCTATTTCTTATCATCGCATTGATAACTGCAGCTGAGAATAGTGGCTTATCAAAGAAGAGGTCCATTGAGTAAATTCGACTCAAATTAAAATTCTACACTGAATTTAGTTTTGAAAGAAATGCGAATATAAACGGTCAGCGTTTAGTTTGTTACTCTAATATTAAGCTTCCGGTAATCACCTTAGAACTAATTTCTTTTTGTTGTGAAAATCTTTTTTTTTTATCAATGTAAGTACACTTGAACTTGCATGCAAATTTTATAAAACTAGCTGAAAGTGCTAAAAGTGCAGGGAGAATAAAACCCAATTTGTGGTGTGCATCTCGATGTTTTCACATAAATTGAGGGTTCTATAGTTTTAACTGCAGATGAATTTGTGTGAGAAATCTTTTCATTGCATTGCAGTAGTACACTCTACCACTTGGATGCCTGGGCCGAATTTTTTTCCAGTTGTTGCTTGGACTGTGGCTCGAACCTCGGTACCATCGAGTGGTAGTGCGCACTACTGGTACTATTCTAAAATTGTTGAATTTTGCGCTTATCTTGAGACAGTCCTATTATTAGACACTAGTGTGTAGAGAGCGGCATATCTACATTAGAGTTGCCAGATCGAAATAAAAAAAATTGATTTTCGAATCGAAATAAAATAAAACGATGCAGGAAGGAATTGTGAAGATCGATTCATATATTTTCTCAAATAACGTTTTTTATTTAATTTTAATTACCATTTTTAGAAAAAATTTTCTAAAAAACCGCACACATACTAAAATTTTTTCTAAAATGAGTAATTAAGGCGTGAACTTTTTTATGAAAATTTGCAAAAAGGTTGGAATTCCAATTTTGTTGTAGTATTCGCCATAATTTTATTAGAGTTATTTTTAAGAGGCTTCCCTGAGGAGAATTAGGGAAACATAGGTATGTAGGTCATTGAATTCTGTTGTCTTTTCTCGCTCAAGTAATTTTTTTTTGTACAAGCTCTAAATTCAAATTTCTTTAAAATTTTATAGATTTTCTGGGGCAAACCGTAGTTCAATATGCATCGATTAACGGATCGAACCGGAACTAAAAAACAAAAACAAAAAAAATCGAATCGCAGGGGCTCGATTAATCGATCCTCGATTTAGTCGATTTAAAAACGGTATCTTTAATCTACATAAGTATGTACATTGGGGAGCCTCAGCAAAAACAGTTGGGATTTTTTCACCGGAATCACACAAAGTTTTCTATTCTAAGACTTCCGCAAAAATATTTTGGGAAAATATTAAGATTTACGAGGGTTAGACCGATTTGAAAATATGTATGTACCTCCAAAAATTTTATTATTTTCAGCCTTATCACGAGTTTCATTTTCCTCGAACCGGTTTAACGTTTCACTTTTTGTTTCCATGTATTTACTATGGCGGATGAAAAATTTTCAGATGAATTTTTTTTACGGGCGAAACTCAGGAAAAGGCAGAATATGTATTTACGCTTGGGTGTTTCCATGTAAAAAAACACCGAATTTCTTTTGATTAAATATGAATTGGTTGTAATGGTTCGTAATTAGACTTTATGTTTAAGAAAGCAAATTCTCACCGGATTCGCAGAGTTTTGCTTATTTTTACATGTATGTACTCTGAAACCACTATTGTTTTTGTCACGCCCGTTATGACCGCCTTTTCATTGATTTTCCTTGCGCAAGTGTTTCTTCAAGCGCAACAAATTTTTTTTGTCAACCAAAGGACAGTATAAAAGCTATAGAACGGCAATTTTTTTAATAAGTGACTTCCGTTTTCGTATGATTTAATTAACTCTAAAGTCGTAGGAATGTCACGTCCCACATCATGGAAATACCCATATTTGGGTTCATAAATAACACTTGTATCTAAGGAGATGTAAACAACCGGCGCATATGGCTAAATAATATGTATAAAAGCGATTTTGTTCAACTTATGTAGAATTAGTCCACAATATGAAATATTACAAATATTTCAGATTTTCTACAGCTAATAGTTTTGTGAAAATATTTATGTAGTTTATAGTTGCAAGTGATTATTCTTAGGGTTTTCAACGAACTCTCATATACTCAATCCCAAAAAAGTATAATATACTAGCAATAAAGTATCTGCTTCATAAATTAACTCACAATAGCAAGATTATCACGCTACGTATTCTGAGATGATAAAAAAAAGTGTTCACTTGCTTACTTTGTATGTACATATGTATGCATGAACATACACTTGTGGTCAGCTGGTTAAGTTAAATGACATTTTGACCAGTTTCGTTTATTTTTTGTTTTTTTTTTTTACTGTTACTGTTAAACCTTAACAATTGCACCCAAAAATTTTAAACTTTTTATTCAGACTTTATGTATAGAAAAATTTTAGATATCCAGTTTTATATCCCATTAAATTTTAGTAGGTTAAAGTGCAACTTTCAAGGCGCTAGGCATAATTGCCTAAGTAATTGTCGAGCATACTTTATATGGGAGAAAATACTCAACACCGTCAGCCAAAAAAGTTCATAAAAATCAAAAATTTTTCTAAAAATTTTCAATAAAAAGTTTAAGATTTTTGGTTGTAATTGTTAGTTTGCTTAGTTTTTATAAATTTTGTAAGAAGTTTGAAATGTGGATTTATTTGATGCTGGTTATGTAATCTGCTAAACTTTTGTAAAAAAAAATATATAAACATTAAGCAGAAAGAAGAAAAATAGCCAAAACTGGTCAAAATGTCACTCAATCTAATCAGCTGATCACAAGGCTATGTACCTATACATATATCGACGCCCCCAAACCATACTATCCTAAGTCTACCTAAAACTCTAATGAATTAAGGCTGGTTTTCACTATGTCAAATTCGATTCGATTTATTTAGACCAGAATAGGTCTTCAGTTGTGTACATGTGCCGCAAAATTGGTAATCTGTACGTTTTTGGCCAATAATATAAACGGTGAAGTTATGGGAAAAGGGGGCAATATGTCGACAAAGTTTGTTGTCAAAATATGACATAGTGAAAACCAACTTTTAGCATGGCAGGATTTGGAGGTGTCGATATGTCCAAGTATTCTAGGGCTACTCTGTATATTTTTACAATGGCTCCCTTGCTTTTTTTTATTATGTGTGTTAGAGAGACTTTTTTTTTATCTACATAATCCATTTGTTTACCGGCTCGTTACTCATCAGGTATTACTTCCTATTAATTCGATGTTTTCGCTAATCAAATAGACAGTTCTTTAAGTTTGGTGTGAGAGCTCGCGTGGTAGTGATCAGTGTCGCCGCGCCCTCTCAAGAAAATGTTTCACTGACCAAGCCAAAAATGTTTCCAAATGTATCCAGTTTTCTTTTTTTTTCCTATACATCTCATAATTTGTAAGAAAACCAAAAATTTTCAAGAAAAAGGCATAACTTAACCCATCCTAAGGACTTAATTTCAATTTATAAATTAAATTTTTTGTGTATAATTATTTTGCAAAGTAAGTATAATAAATAGTAATGAATATGCTACATTTGTACCTGTACACTCTAAAAAGAGCATGTAAAACTACTACTGAAAAGCATCAATTTTTCAACAAGAATCGCATAAATATACGTATAAGATGTTCAGGAGATCTTTAAAATATATACATAAATACATATATAAAATGTTTAAAATTGCAAAAATTTTCAAACTAAAAGTACATTTCCTACTAATAATAAACATTAGGGGCTCACATTTACTCTATTTTAAACTTTTAATGTGTAATTTTGCTCTTCGCGACAAATGTAGTATGTAAAAGTAAATAGGCAATGTTTAGTTTTATTACACGGTATGCAAATTTCCACACATTAAAAGAGGAAACTTTCTTAATATCCGCAAATAAACAAAATTTTTTTTAGTCTATTTAAAGTTTTTTTCAGTAAAATTCATACAAATTTCCTTAAATAAATCAAATTTTTATTTTTTTTTAACAGAGTATTTTAATCTACATTGAGATCTGCTTTCGTTTTAAATTAACAAATAAAAATATGTGTTATGAAAGAGATTACTACAGAAAGAGTATATATTTACTTTATATATATATATTAAGATCTTGCTTAAAGCATTCTTTTTAGTTAATAAAAACAATTGCGCTTATACCTATTTTGGTGAGATCTCTTCATATGTTCATTGCTTCGTTCACAAAAAATAAAATGTTTTAATTTCACGCTTAAGTAGCGATTTTCAATACCTTTCTACCATCTTTGATAAAAATCGAGTTTTGAATGAAAAAAACTTTAGAGAAAATATAAAATTTTGGCCTATTTAAAAAAGTAAAGTTATACTGATCTGAAAAAATAAGTATCTCGCAAAAATTCGTCTAAAAATGTATCCAATTGGATCTATTTAGATCCAAACGGCATACCTGGTAGTGATCAAGAATGACTCATTTTACAGTCTCTCTAAGCTTGGTCCTATTCCCGGCGAGTTGAATAAGATTTTCAAGTAAAACCAAACGATTTGAGGCCCATAAGCCTTATTCTATAAAGACTTTTAGATAGGCAGTGGGATTCATACATTTAAATAATGGATTTATAAATTTAAATAAAGAAACTTTCAATAATGTGCATCAAGAATACGAGGTTTAATATCCCAAGGTCTCTTTCGCAAGAATAAAGGGACGGGTCCATAACTAGATGTATTACTTAAGGCACCATGCAGGAGATTGTACTGGTGGCAAAGTCTTATATAAGTAGCATATGCTAACAATATAGTAATAATTTTTTTTTATCAACTTGCAGTCAGTGTCAACCCCATCAAGGTAGAGGTGGTATTTTTGCTCCTTATTTGGGGGTGGACTGCATATCTCAACCTTAAAAAATTTTAATTTTTTTTTTATTTTTTGATGTTGGTTGGAACTTTCAGATCACCCTACCATACAGGCGGTGGAAACGATTACATTTTTAATGCCACTAGGCATTGGCATGACAAAAAAATCTATGCCACGTGCAAACAAACTTAATGACTATTTTTATGAACGTAAAGACAGTTATATTTTAAATGCCCAACAGTCACTAAAAATTTCGTCATTTTATGCCTAGTGGAAATTCGGCATTACACTTTATTCAAAATTTCGCCGGAAATGGCCTATAAGAAATCAAAGAAATGGTTTCAACTTTATGTTCGCTTATTACGAAATCTTTTGGGGAGGAACTTCCTCCTAGTTCCCCCCGTAGGCTCGTGCCAGCACTAACCTAAACTCAGTACATATGTATACTTAAAAATTAAATTTATATAGTAAAACTTTAGTAAAATAGACTTGTTTTTTTTTCTATTTTCAGCATGTCAGTTTTAAGACATTTAAACCGATGCTTGCTTATCAAGCCAAACCAACCCAAATTACTTGTACAGTCATGTTTCTTCCACAAAAGTTCGACAGCGAAATCAAAGGACGAGTATCTCATCGATTCGCCAGAGTATTCATTTCTAAGAGATATTGGCATCGAACAAGAAAATTTCGGTGTTTATAATGGAGCCTGGAAGGGCTCTGGAGAGCTAATTACATCCATAGATCCTGGCACAGGGCGGAAAATTGCCAATATACGTACGGGCAGCGTTGAAGAAATGGATGAAGCGATAGAAATTGGCGTAAAAGCTTATCGGCAATGGTGCCAAGTACCAGCACCCGTGCGTGGTGATATTATTCGACAAATTGGCGATGAAATGCGTAAATATAAAGAGCCACTTGGTAAGCTGGTCAGCTTAGAAGTTGGAAAAATTCTCAGCGAAGGACAAGGAGAAGTGCAAGAATTTATTGATATTTGTGATTACGCTGCGGGGCTGTCACGCATTTATGCGGGACAAGTGATTAATTCCGAACGACCTGATCACACAATATTGGAAGCATGGCGCCCTTTGGGTTTAGTGGGAATAATATCAGCATATAATTTCCCGAATGCCGTATTCGGTTGGAATGCTGCAATTGCGTTGGTAAGTGGGGAAACATTTAATATAGCAGCATAATTTAATTTGAATGCTCAGCTTAAATTAACTACTAGTTTCGGTCTTGAAACCATTTAATTTTTGTCTTATTTCTGAGAGAATCTTATTTAATAAGATAAAATATATAAATTTTTTGATATAAAATAATTAAAATGTATACTTTTTTATTCATTCAGACCACTGGTAACAGCGTTCTCTGGAAAGGAGCACCCACAACTTCGCTGGTCTCGGTGGCTACCATGAAAATCCTTTCCGAAGTGTTGCAACGTAATAACCTACCACCGATTGCGGTACTCTGTCAGGGTGGCGTCAATGTTGGTCAGACGCTTGTATCCGATAATCGAGTTAAGCTTGTATCATTTACTGGTAGTTGTGAAACTGGTCGCAATGTTGGTGTGGAAGTACAAAAACGTTTCGGCAAAGTCATACTGGAGCTGGGCGGCAACAATGCCTTGCTCGTAGATCAGGATGCTAATTTCAATATGGTATTAGAAGCTGCACTCTTCGGCTGTATTGGTACTTCTGGACAGCGTTGCACCACCACACGTCGCATAATTGTTCACGAAAAGTTGTACGATCGTTTAGTTCAGGAATTGGTCGCCAAGTACAAGCAAGTAAGTATACCGAATGGAATGGTTTTAGCCACACAATTCTTAGACATCATCCAATATAATAGATATTTAATATATTTCACTCGTTACAGGTTCTACCAAAAGTCGGTCATCAATTAGATCCCAATACGTTGATTGGCCCTGTACATACACAACAAAATATAGAACACTATAAAGCCGCTATCACAGAGGCGATTAAATTAGGCGGCAGAGTTGCTTTTGGCGGCAATGTAATACAAAGGGCAGGTTTCTATGCCGAACCAACAATCATCACTGATTTGCCACACAATTCGCCTGTAGTGCATCGCGAAACATTCGCTCCCATTGTATACATTCTGAAGGCGAAATCCATTGAAGAGGCCATTGAATGGAATAACGAAGTCGATCAGGGTCTTTCGTCAGCGATATTTACAGAAAATATTTCGAATGCATTTAAATGGATCGGTCCACAAGGATCCGATTGTGGCATTGTGAATATAAATACTACAACAAATGGCGCAGAGATTGGCGGTGCATTTGGTGGTGAGAAACACACAGGCGGTGGTAGAGAATCTGGTTCCGATGCCTGGAAGCAATATTGTAAGCGTGCTACAATCACAGTGAATCATTCCGGCAAGCTGGCACGTGCTCAAGGAGTGGAATTTAATGTGGAATAAGTAAATGATCGATGTTTGTTTTATATATTAAAAAATGCCAATAAATGTATTGTGATTCTGAACTGAATTGTTGTTCAAGAAGTTGTTTAAGAGCTCCGCCTTGACTCTTCAACTTATACTTACGGTGACCATCCGTCCTGTATTATACGGAGCAGTCCTCTTTTGTGACCCATTGTCCTGGTAATTTTTTTTATTTCATACGGGACGCCAAATGTCCTGTATTTCTTTAAATGTCCTGTATTTGTCCCGTATTCGGTGTTTCGACGCCTTAACAACCCATTAAAATGGCATGCCTATGAACGAGTTTTAAGTGATTTTGGTATACGATCGTAATTTTCTCCATAAACAGTTATTATTTTCTAATCTGATTGCCTATGATTCGAATCGAGGAATACATACAGTGACCAAAGTAGAAATTAGGACTCGACATTTTACTAAGTTTTGACTATTTTTCCTTCCTTTATTTATTGTTTATTATTTATTTTATGAAATTAAAGCTCTCTTCCTAACAAAAACCGTATAACACCGAATTTCCAACTTTGTGCAAAAAACTATAAAAATTAATTCTGCAATGTTACCAAAATATCAAACTTTTTAATTAGAATCTTAAGAAAAAATTTGGTTTGCAGTTTAGTAACTTATTGAAATTGAATATAATAAAGTGCAAGTGGAAAGTGCTGCTCACTTGCTTCACTTTCAAAAAATGGTCGAACATACATCCTTTGTATGAAAAAATTGAGTAACACCGTCAAAAAAAAGTAAATAAAAAATGCCAAAAATTAGTGGTAAGCCTTAGCGACTAAAAATTGCACTTTCTTATACTAAAATTTAACTATTTTTTTTAACAAATTTTACGGGGAAAATCTTCAGAAAATTATCCTACAAATTTGTGATGTTACTAAAAGGATACTTTTTCAGGTCTAATACATCTAGGATCATTGAAGAAGAATTTGAGATCTGTAAGCTGTTGTGGAAAAAATTTGTAAATTTTTTTTTGTCCCGCATTTGGCTTTCACAAATATGGTCACCGTACTTATACTGCTAACAGATTTTCTTGAACCTTGAAAAATTATATTATAAAGAACGATTTACTATTGTAAGAGAGTGTAGAGTAGTTTTAACAACACCTCAATTAGCAATTAGCAGTCGAAATTCACCTGAAAAGAGGCAATGGGAAAAAGCGAATGAATAGGTGAACCAGTAGGTTTCATAATAATATTTCGATGGAGTTGCGCATTTTCTTCCATATAAAAATTGATTTTATTCATGCGTTACATGACAGTATTGACGGAAGGGTTGGTGCCTTCCTCTACCTCTACCAGGAAGAGGTAACTGCCAATAAGGAAGCAATCGATGGGTTAAGTGTAACATCAAACACATTTCGACCGGGGAAGGGCAAGATTTTTTCGGAAGAAACGAAATCACCACAACATCTGCCTACAGTATTTTTCACTTTAGTTTTACCGATAATGTCAAACATAACATAACATAGAACGAGAAATGACACTGAAGATGGCACAACACCGAAACCGGTTTGTCTGCAAACCAAGCTTGACAAGAGATGACGGAAATTCGTTCCAAAATAAATCAATAACATAACATAATTTACGAGTTCTGCCTTCGGTCATAATAAGATAGCTTATTAGGTTGTCATGGTAATGACTAAATATTTGATCTATAAAATTCCTCCAAACTGTTTAGAAGTCTGTGGTAATTGTTTTAATATTTTTCAATTTTCGATTGCTTAAATATAAAATTATAAAAGAAGCCCAGCAATGGAGGTTATGGAGGAAGGAAATTTAATGGACAGGGTTCCAGTGTTGCTACAACGCGATTTACAATTTTATCAGGTAGCAAACTGAAAGCAAATATTTACGTAAGCAACCGTGTTAAATACGCATGTGTGGTTATGTGTCTGCTTTTAAAATCTGAACCTGTAAACACTATTTTAACTATTTAGCGAAAGTTTTTTCTATAAAATATATTTTTGTTTTATGAAGACTCATCAACGCGTACTACAAGAACGAATTTGTCCTGGAGTGGTCGGTGGGAAGTTGGACTTTCCACGTTATGCCTCTTTTGCTGCCATCAAAATTGTTTTGTGGTAAGTTGTTTGAAAATTTTATAAGCCATTAAAATTCAATTCAAAAATGTATGGATTTACACTATAAATATTGCTATTTATTGTATATATAGTATTACATATCTCAATTTTAGGTGGGAAGATGAATATTATGCCTCTTATCAAAAGCATTCTGGGCTATTGCATGCCGAAATGGACTTATTGGCGCCTGAACCTGTAAATATTTATTTATACATGCAAATTCGAATTTTTCAATAATCATCTAAACTGTATTCTATGTACATATGTATAGTCAGCTGTTGTTGTAAAAACCTCAGATCCGGAGAAATTTGTAAATCTCGTAACGCGTTCGGCGGATATGCTCCTTGAACATTTGCACATACTTTCGCAAGAGTCCTTGGATCATGCCGATCTCTCGGTGTTGACAGCAACAATTGGAGCAGCGGCACTTATAAAGAATTGTCTAAATATTTATTTACAAGCAGCTAATGTAAAAATATATCGCCCAAAGGGCAATGAAAAGGGCGGCGCTTTAAGGTTATCCTATAAGCAATATTTCCAGATGGCAGAGGCGCTGGCGGAAAGACTACTAGATCTACACTGTAGATTATTACTGCTTTATATCGTACAAGATGCCGATTGTTTACATTGGGAAAATAGTCAGCCATTTTTCGAATCGGAGCGCGGTTCCTATACCGTACAAATGTGGTGGCATTACATACAAGGCATCAAAGATGATCTGTGGAACTCGGTGCCGCCAAAAATGGCGCAACGCATTTTCGCCGGCATTTTAAATGAAACTTTAGGTGTGCTAACGTCTCGATATTCTCTAATTTTGACCAGTGTTGAAAGAGCTCAACTACATTTGGCCGATATCTCGAATATGCTGTTTTGTGTAGCGGAATTGTTACCCTATGTCTGTGAAAGTGGGGAAGCCTATATAGGTATGTAAGTAGTATACTTAAATATGTACTATAACGATTACTTAGAATAAAGAAATTTGATTTATTTTCTGTTTAGGTCTTCAGCTTCCTAATCAAAGTGCTATTATTCGCGACGTACACGCCAAATGCCGCGAGTTGTTCTACTGCCTTCTTTTACGTGGTGCACCGTTAGGAGTGCTATCAAAGGTTTGTTGAATGCAAATATTTTGTGTGGCACTGTATGTAAGTAAGTATGTGCAATAGATTGCGTCGCGCTGCATTCAAAGGAAGGTGTCAATCATAGGGTGTTCTCGCCACTTTTTCAAATTCTTTTGAGAGGTTCATCCACTCAAGTAGCGAAAATTTCAGCTACGGTGGCCAAAAAGTAAATCGCGACGCGACATTTTAACAAGTTTGGCTATTCTTCTTTTCTTTATTTAATGCTTATTATTTTTTTATTAATGTATAGCTCGTTATTTAGCATTTACAGCCTAATAATTTCCATTGATTTTTAAGATTTTTTTATTCACACTTTATGCTTTTTTTCTATACAAAAAAACAACAAAAAATCCCAAACATCCACGGTTACCCCAGGTACTTTAAACTTACACTTTTTTATACTAAAATTGAAAGCCCTACAAAGCTGTATACTAAAAATTTTCCTGAGAAATTTACTTGAAAAGCTCAAAAATGTTGAATTTTCCTAATTTCCAATTCGGACTTAATGAAAAAACAAGCAGCCAAAATTTGTTAAAATGTCGCGACCCAATTTATATTTTCATCACTGCCGAAAATTTCATTAAAAATGGATATTTAATGTAAAATAAGGTCCCATATAAAAGCTTTATGACGCAGAATTAGATTTTTTTAAAGCGTTTTCAACGTGTTAAAGCTCACAGCTAGTAGAGAATTGAGACACAATATTTTAATGGAAGTCATAAAAAATACCAAGTTTTATCATGCGCTCGGTGAAGCCGCTCATTTTTTTCGGAAGGCATCCTAATGCACATACATATGTATCTCTCAGACCTAGAAGGAATATTGGCTCGAATGCAGATTTACGGAAAAGAGAGAATATCAATATTTTTAAATGCACTTCATAAACGTACCAAAAGAAAAACTAATTGATAAACCATACGCGGTGGAGACCTTTCTTACTTACCTGGAAATTATACTGGTTTAAGTTATGTTAAATTATGTAAAGGCTAATATCGCACATGAACGAAAATTCGTCCGACTTATATAGGAGGTATCACGCCCAATTTTTAAAAAATCGGTTAGTAATTTGTTTGTTTAAAATATTTTTTTTTATACAAAAATGGTATTTTTTTACCAAAGGTCCAATTTTGAATTTCGAAGGCCCATATCTCGATTTCGGAGGATAACTTCGAAAAACGGAGGACTTACTTTTTTTTACTAATGACTCAATCTCTTAAAAAAAGTTGGTTTGATCCAATACCCAGCCGAGTGCTGTACAGTTTTATTGATAGGATTAATATTAATCCTTCTACAAAATGTTTCATGATTTTCTGAAACCGCATATACATATGTATATATCACATATGTATATATTCAGTAGCGAAAATATAAATATGTATGAAAGAGACATTTTAGCATTCTTTGGCTATTTCCCTTTCGATTATTTATTTTTTTTTATGAAAGTGTATCCCGTTATCTAACAAAAACCATGTAAGGCAAAGTTTTAAATTTTGTACAAAAACTAACAAAATTTCATCAAAATATTGAGCTTTTTAATTTTACTTCTTGGAATTATTCCAACTGAATTTCAGTATCAGAAGGTGCTAATTTTAAGTGGCAAGTAACTGTCGTTGATTTTTGGTATTTTTATTTTGTTTGTGGAAGATTTTGCTAATTTTCTTATACATAAACATTTTCAAACATACTTTGTATGAAAGAAAATGCGCGATAAAAAATTATCAAAAAAGCTAGTTCGAACTGGCCTACAAAACGGCATACTCAAAAAAAATCTAAATAATCTGATTAAAAAGCTCAAAATTTTTATCAACATTTGTTAAAATTTATTTTTATGAATGTTCTACAAAGTTTGAAACTTCGGCTTAAATATTTTTTTTAATAGTAAGCTATATTTTCATAAAAAATCAAAAAAATTAAAAAAAAATAAAAGTAGCCAAAACTTGCTAAAATGTGTTTTCTCTATTCACATTCTCGCCTCCGTAGGTATGCCATTTTTTGATTAAAAATCGATGTATCGTATTACTAGTACATATTTTCATCTTTTCAGCTTTGTCGCAAAAATATTGAAAATATGGAAATGTTTTCATCGAGACAAGGATTACCATGCGCCTGGATATTATTTGCTTCGCCACAGCTTTTTTCGACCGATAAAACTTTTCAGTGGGTCACCGAATTTGGAGATCTTAGCGCACGCATTGCAATTTCTTTGGAATTGAAAGTACTTTTGGCATTTCCCGAAGCTGATTGGGCTTACTTACTAAAGGTGAATTTAAATAAATATATAATTCAATTAACCCTTTTAACACCACAAGCCTATACATAGTAGAAGAAATATCACTTCAATTTTAGATTATGTTCTGTTAAAGCTTAATAGAGATATTTATTTTTTTTATAGCCAGTGATGGAAAAATAGGTACAATTGTACTTTTTCAGCCCTTTTCTAATTTGAAAGTACATTTGGTACATATATACTATTTTCGGTACATTTTCAACTTAGCCAGATAAATTTTTTTTGTCGAAAAGTTCCAGCCGTTTGAACAGATCTCAAGGTATTGGAGAAAGTAATCTCAAAATCAGGCATGACAGATTTTCCTCGTATTTTCGTACTGTTGAACAGATTCGACAAATTTTTAGGCAAATTTGTCTGCTGTTGGGTACAATTTTTTCCTCACATTAAGTGCAATTTGAAAATTTGATTTTCCATCCCTGATAAAACCTTTCAAACTCGTTTTCTGATGCACTAATTTTGGAAAAATTTCAATATAATATTTCGTGTTTTCTACTTAGCAAATTTGCGTATCACTGAATAGAAACTGTAAGAAATATAACAGGTAGTTCGCTATTTGCCTACTTTATCTTGTACCAAAACGTAACTTTTTACAAAAAGTGGACTTTAGAATTTTTCGTTCTATGATAGCGATATGTGAAATGAAATATAAAACCCTAAATTTTTTTCTTCTTTAAGGTTCTTCTAATGCGCAATGCTCAGGTGACTGGAATAATACTTCGTCATATTTTTTCACATTTGCCATCACCGGAAAATTTCAAAAACGATAATAGCTCATTTCTCGACGATTACAGTCAGCGAAAAAAGTGTGAAGCATTTCTATGCCGTGGTGAATGTCTAGATGTATCTGAAAAAATCAAAAATCATGCAGGTAAAAATGCATATACGAAAATATCAATTAACTAATGTGGAAATATGAATATATTTTTATATAATCATGCCTAGATCCCATTGGTCAGTCCAATTATCAAATTGCCTTGTCGTTAACCTACTTGTTGGTGGCTGTCGGGAAAGCTGTCGATATTAAATCATGTCTCATTAAAATTTTGGAAGAAAGTTGCGCCGGTTGGAGTGATTGTTTGGACAAACGTCAGGTATGTGTACAATGTACACTGTACACACATACATACGTATATACATAATTGAACCTGCCTCGGAAATAGGCATTAATAAACTAAATAAACAAAAAATTGTTTGACTTTCAGGTTTGGAATCAAAAACGTCCACCTTGGTTGGAGGCAATTATCCATTTTGTTTATCCTGTACTTAATTGCATTGTAGATATGTTGGTTAATGCCGTCGAAGCTGGTGCTAGTATGTATCAAGCAATGTCTTTGGCTCTAACATGTGTTTCCGAGATGTGGGACTGCATACCAGAAAGTTTGTACAAAGTAACAATTTTACTACAGGATATCATACCCGTCTCTACGCGACCACTTGGTAAATACTTAAAAGTAGATTTTTAATGAACTCCATTCCATTATACATAGGGTTGCGTTAGTAGAACTTAGAGACCACTGAAGGGCCCTCATTAGTAGTGGGTAACTCAGCACTGTGCTGAGTTACTGTGCTGACTCTTAGAACTGTGCCGCACGCTCAGACTCACCTCTGAAAAAATTTGTAACTCAGTAACTCAGTTTATGTGCTGACAATGTATAGCTCAGTATGCTAAAGAGCCGATATGGTAACTCAGTTGATGTGCTGACACTGCATAGCTCGGTGCGGCTTGCATTGTTTAGAACTGTGCTCACACATTCATACTGTACGATCTTCCAAAAAGTACCATAATAGATGGCATCACTAGACTAACCATCAATTGAATATACGACCACTAAATTTAAAAAGAAGCAAGGCGAATAGCCCAGTTATGCATACTTGCACTGCTATACCATTTTTACGTAAAAATCAAAACCAAACAGAATTCTACATGTGAAGTGCTATGCGTTGGGTAACCGCTTACATGCATAGCCCATTTAACAGATTCTTATGTGACAACTCTCAAGCAAAACTAAGTAGGGAATTATTTTGCAAATGAACTCACCAGTTGAAATCAGCTTTCTAAAATTTTGCCGGCCAGCTACGAACAGAAGCTAAGGATAACCTTTTCTAAATCGATTTCAATTACTAACATCATCAATAATTTCGATGTACATAGCAATTGTGCGATAGCACACTTGTGCCAGCTCACTGTGCTGACTCATTAGAGTGAGTTGGAGTTACTGAGTCAGCACACCAAAATTTACAGAGTTACCCGCCCTTAGCCCTCATTTCGTAAACTGGGGCTAAGTAGCTAACTCAGTTAGTTTTCGCGAGTTAAATCTATAACTCAAGCTCAATTTAGTGAGTGCATTCAGTGGGATGAGCTATACGACTTATCAGGTATAGCTTATAGTGTGGAGGACAGTCGGAAAATGCATCCTCAATGGCGAAACATGCCATATCGGACTGAAAATGATTGACTTCGCAGGTTTCCAGAATAGAGTAGCCTATGTTCCATCATTAAAAGATTCAGCAGCTGCGTCTATGTCTTCGAGTCGAAAGTCGAGAAATCAGTTCGATAATAATTATGTAGTTCACAAGGTGTCGTATTGTCAATTATTTTTTGATGGTGTGAAATTTCATAATACGACTTTTATGGCAACTTGCGAATCCTTTAAATACAGTTTTAGCCGCTTAAAGTTTACGACATACAGCAATACGACAGTATACATAAATCTTGTGAACTCTGTAATTTATGGGGAAAAGTCTTTTTGACAGAAACCACTTGAGCATGTTCCAACAGTCGCAATGGCCGAGTGAGCAAAGGACTGGTGTGCCTTTAGAGAGAGAGCCGATACTCGAATCCTAGGGCAGCGAAATTGGTTTCCTTTTTTAAACTTAATTTTCCTTTCATTTTTAGATTTACTTGTTTTATAATAAAAAAAAATATTTTTAATTTGAGATGATTTTCCAATAATTATAGTAATTTTTTTGTTTGATTTCATTTTTAAATTAAAATTTTTAATTTTCCTTTAATTTTTGGATTTTATTGTTTTAAAAAGAAAAATAAAGTGTTTTAATTTCATTTAATTTTCAAGAACTTATTATATTTTAATTTTTCAATTCAAGTTTTTTCTTTCTTAACTAGATTCTCTTAATTTTTAGATTTGATTGTTTTAGAACGGAAAATATTTTTTTAATTTCATGGGAACTTATTTTTTAATTTAATTTCTTTTCTTTTTTTAATTTAAATTTTCTTAAAATTTTAGATTTTATTGTTTTAAAAAGAAAAATATTTTTTTTTTATTTCATTTGATTGTAGGAAACTATTTTTTTATTTCCTTTTTAAATTTAAGTCTAAACACTTTATTGTTTTAAAAATAATTTAATATTAATTTTTAGTATCTTATATTTTTTCTTTTTTTAATTTAATTTTTAGTTTTTATTGTTTAAAAAAAAATTTAAATTTTTTAATTTTATTTGATTTTTAGAAAAGTTATTGCTCAAAGCCGAAAAGAATAACGCTAAGACCTCCTCCTAACAGATTTCTCAGAAAAGAGCTTTGAAGATGGTTGGCAGAATTGAAGATTTTCTTACGAAAAACTTTTGTCTCTTGAAAATCTGTGGTGAGGTGAAAGACAGTTGCCAGAACTCCCTGTAAAGAATTAATAACATTGCACAGAAAACGTAATTTTTTATTTTTTTCAATCTCGTTTTTTTCGTCTATGCCAATTCTATTCCATCAGGTGATTCCGTACTAATGCAGGTGGTCTTTGCGGCCCTCTACACAGATTTAATAAGGAAAGCGAAAACTTTTGAAACGGGCAAGTACCACATTTTTTACTTAAAAAACAAAAAAAAAATTATTCTACCCCTTCTTTCACGTATTGTACTACAACAGAAAATAAAATGGAGAAAGCCTCAACATGTTATTCCATCTCGGAAGCCATCTGCTGTATTGACGAAGATGACAAACATACTGATCAAATCGATTTATTTTTGAAACAAACTAGAGATTCAATATTGATTGAAACAAATTCAGAATACAATAATGGAGCGCGCAGTTGGGTAAGCACTTTGAGTACGGTCAAAATCGATGATTTAAATACTACGCATACTGAACGTCTGACTCAAAGTCCACCAATCAATTATGCTACAGAGTTAGATGTGGGCATAGCAGATTATATTGCCGATATATTAGTAAGCGATGTTCTTACGACAAATATTGGAAAGCAAGCGTTGAAGGTAAAGTTTTTATAAACAAATGTATATCAGGATGATTCACTTATAAAATCATTATTTTGCTATAGACCAGCTACAGATATCTTAAGAACAATGCTGATTGGTTAATGGAACAGCTGGGATCAGGCGTTCCAGTGGGTGGCCCAAATTTGGGACAGAGTATCAATGAACCTAAAGATTCCATATTGTCAACAATGTTTTTCGTGGGAAATCATACATTTGATCAGGTATGAAGCTAAAATGTAGGCACTAAAACTTTTATTTTTAGCGTTTATTACTTTTTCCCCAAAAAAAGAAGCTAGATGAAGGGTTATTTTTTTCACTTATTATTCGTTTTTTTTACCAAGGTTGGGAATGGGAAATGGATACTTTTAATTTAATTATACCCCGACCTAAGGTTAGTTTAGGTAAACTGGCTAGTCACTGCGTGGTTTCGTAGAGACGATTAAGGTAAAACCGTTACAAGATAACGCGGCGACTACCAGATTAGGCAGCAAGCCTGCTCCCAGGAGACTAATCCGCATCTACTAAGGGCAGGATACTCGCAGCCTCCTATTTCGTTCTGCATCTCCTACAGATCTTATCATTGGTCAGAGCTAGTTTAAGGGCGGGCAGTGCCAGCAGGAAATGTCCCGTTAGAACACCCACTAGAAGCCCAACGTCCTTCCCCTTGAGGGAAATGGAAAACTTCGTGGGCTTTATGTCATACGTTCTGCACGTAATCCTGGACATCTCGCAACCTTGCGTTTTGGTCTACACCTTTTGCGCCTTCCGAATCATAGATAGGTCGAGCTTCCGCCTTCTTTGGCAAGCCTGTCGGCCCCCTTATTACCCTGGAACCCAGTACTGATGTATATCAGTACCAGTATTAGGCAAATCCAGAGCTGCCCTACACACCGCCACACTTCTAGGGGAAAGGCTGTGCGATAGTAGCGTCTTTATCGCAGCCTAAGTGTCGATATAAAGATTCACCTGCATATTTCTAGGTGGCTGCTCGGTAGCTTTGCCGCCCTCCTTAGGGCCAATAACTCCAGCAGAAAAATGCTGCAGTAGTTCGACAGCGTATAGGATTTGACGAAGCCCAGTTTCACGCAAACGACTGCCGTCCTACGTCTCCATTTTCGACCCGTCCGTATGACATTCACCGAGCCCGCACTCGTCATGTACTTACGCCAGCCTTCGACCTCTATAGCGGCTTCGAAGTTCATCCCAAAGTGCCAATCCGACATCATGTAGTCAATCCGTCCGAGTAAACTTGACGCTATACTAGTGTGTGCGTAGCACCTGTACATAAACTGCCCCCAAGCGTACAGCCTGATGGCAGGTTTGGACTCTAAATTCATGGCCGATAGATTAGCCGCCGAGAGATGTGACAAGGGGTAAACTGCTGCCGTTGGTGTAGTCCTAAGTGCCCCTGTTATGCCGATCATTGATAGCCCATATATCATCCATATAATTAATATGCATTCCAGCTCATAACGAAATAGAGTGAAATTTTATAGCGGACAGACTAGCCAGGAAAGCAGGGGCCAAAGATCCCACTAGGCCTAAGCTCTACCTGCAAATAAGTTCAGAAACAATCAAAGAAGAGCAATGAGGCTTCACAAATATAAGGCCGTCGCTCGGCTATACTCCCATTCTACTTTTGCTTCCGCGTTCGCTCACGGCACGGTTCTTTAGGGAGCCACTCCAACGTACTCGGTTTCAGACTCCATTGAAGTCTGCAAAGTCTGTTCACCACGAGGTATGGTTGCAAGCGGATGTATGTCTGGGAGTAAACGGGCCGCTACATAAAAGTGTACTTAGCAAGGTTTTTCCAGGCTCTGTTTACGTGCTGGGTGCTGGGTGCAGGGTTTGGAATCAGCCAAGTGAAAACCCTTCCAATGAAGGTAAACCGAAGTCTCAGATGAGACTTTTTATGCTATGACTACCGCAAGTGTTTAAAAACTCTGACTTGAGGGCATGTACCTGGTATATACGAACCCTTAAGCTCAAACAGTCAACGACGTAGCGTAGACGTAGGTTGACGCAGACACGATCTACCTTTTGGGATTCCCGTGTTATCGAAAACTCACCACCGCATGGCGGCGACGTTGCTTCTCTCTCTCTCTATCAACCAGGGACGAGAACCGGATGAAAAATTTGGTCGGTTCGGTTCAAGCGGTTCGAACCGTTTTTGCACTTTTGGATTGGTTCGTCAAAGCGGTTTCTTTGGTCTTTGAACAGGGGTTTCGGTTCGGTTTAACGGTTCGAAAAACCAAAAAATAACGCGCAAGTTTAAGGGGTCTGTCAAATGAGATGGGTTGCCTTTACATTTGATATTGTCACATGGTAAACAAACATGGTAGGTATTACCATGTTTAACAAAAAGAAAAAAAAGTGGGTACATTTATCTATTGAAAATTGGTTGAAACGAACATTTAAACCTTTATGGAAAGTGGTTCGGTTTTCGGTTCGGATCAAACATTTGGGGAAAATTTCGGTTCGGTTAATGGTTCAGTTAATTAATACAAAAAAGCGGTTTTCCGGTTCAAAACCGGCTCGGTTCAAAACCGGTTCACGTCCCTGCTATCAACAGTAAAATTGATATGCTGCTACGTACGTCAACCTACGTTTACGCCACGTCGTTGACTAATAGCGCTTTTAATGGGAAAGCTGCCTGGTGGTGTGGCTGGTTTGTGTCCTCGATAAGGCCAAGGTTGACATCCCGCCATCCAGGAAGGCAAGAAATATGTGGGGCCTTACGACGTTTACTCCAGTTGCCATGTAAATGGACGAGTTTCTCGCCACATTCTGGACCAAAGTGAGTTTCTACAAGGTGGCGTTCATTTGCGCCTACAACCCGATTGAAGCAAAGGACGAGGTGACCAAAAACCTTTTCTATGGGCGACTGGAGCTCGCAGCTACAAGCGTTGTCAGGTTTATCAAACTGATGATGCGGTTGCTAAGAAAGTCTCAATGAAACGTACCGAAACTTCTGTAGAAGCACCAACACTTAAAACATTTATTAAGACACTTTATGTTTTATATCCCATAGAAATATAAAGAAGCAAGTTAATAAATAGCGATAAATAATTAAAAAATAATTAAATTTTCATTACTTTTCTTAGCTTTTAAGCGGTGGCCTCACCATTGACTACATCACTTGGCTACAAACACCGTTATCATTGAATACAGAACGAGCTTGGCTGCATTTATCGCGTCGCTGTGATTTCCAGGAAGATTCTAAACTTCGAATGCCTGAAGTAACAATGGTGGCTGGAATTACACAAGTGATGAAAAAGTTGAAATATCCCAAGAAATTTTAAATATAAAATATATTACTCGTCTGGCGATTATAACTAGTTAAGCCTGTATGCACATTAGGGTGACTCTTATATTTGTGATTTTTTTTTATAATGAAATTTCTAGCGTACAAAACGGTGGATTCATTGTTCCTAATCGACTTTGCTTTTGCCGAACGTTGTGCTAAATTCTGCAGAGCTAATTTTATCACAAAATTATTGCAATGTTTGAGAAAGTGTTTTATAAGAGCCACCCCAACGTACATACATATATATGTATACATATGAACATTTATGTAGATTAGGAGTTCTAGTTACTGTCGAAATTCGGCCGTATTTCTAGTTTTTTCAGACACTTGGAGAGGTTTTCTAGCTCGCTTAACTTATAAGGTACAAAGTTACTTACCGGAAAATCTTCTGCTTTGGAACTAAAACGTGACAAATTTTTTTTTATATATTTAAAGGTCTTTGAAGGACCTTCGCAAGACTTGGAATTGTTCCAATAGATTGCAGTTTGTCAATAAATTTTGATAATATGATGCATAACGATAATTCAATGAATTTCAAACACACTAAAATCCGATAACTCAACAAAAATTCGATAACTCGACTAAATTCGGTAATTTTCGATGAATTTCGGTAACTGTGGTAAATTTCGATAACTCAAAAAACATATCTCGACACAAATCGATAACTCGATAAACTTTGCATATTTCTATAAATTTCCATAACTTTGTTAATTGTGATAGCTCCATATTTTTCGAAAGCTATCGAAAAACTTCGATAACTTGTTACGCTATGGTAACACGATAAAATTCGATAAGCAGTGATAACTCGATAACTTATATATTTCCATAAATTTCCATAACTTGGTTAATTGTGATAGCTCCATATTTTTCGAAAGCTATCGAAAAATTTCGATAACTTGTTACGCTATGGTAACACTATAAAATTCGATAAGCAGTGTAATTCGATAACTTATATAACTTTGAAATTTCGATAACTCGATATATTTTGAAAATTCCAAAAACATCGATTCAATAAATCGACAAATTTCAGAAAACGAGTAAATATCGAAAGATCGATAAATGTGACAAATTTCGATAATCCCATAAATATTTATAGCCCGATAACTTTCCTTAAATTTCGACAACTCAGTAAACATTGATCAAATTGAATAATTCGATACGTTGCGGTAACTCAATATATTCATGTTTATTGAGATGGATAAATTTCGATAATTATAAACTTTGATGATTCGATAAATTTCGGTAACTTGATAACTTTCGTTAAAAATTTCAATAAATGTTCTTATCCTTTGAGCTACCCTAATTCTTATTTATCTTCAACTTTGCTATCGATTTTTTGTCTTAATTGTTTTTATCATTTATTTCTTCAACATCACATTTATCTTTAATACAAAGTTTAATATAAAATACAAAGCAAAACAAAATGCGAAAACAATTCAAATTGAACAGGTTGCAACAAAAAACCAAACACAAATACTGAAATTTTTAAACAGCGATTTTGGCCGTAATTTTCAGCCAATTTTAAAACCATACAGAAAAACACTTTTCCAGTAGTGTTCTTGGTCTTGAAATCGGTTCGGTATAATCGCCAAATGAACGGTGACAAAACTATAAAAATACAAAGTACACATAAAATTTATTTCTTAAGCTTTAAACTATGGGTTGTAAAAAACAAAACAAAAAAAAATATTACGATTTGGTAAACAGCGATTTACAAGTAATTCTACAAATGAAAACATGTTCAATATTATGCTTATAAAAGCATTTATCACCACTTAACTACTTACTATATCCATATGTACGTATGTATGTATCTATTTTACTATGTGGATTTTTGCTTACTACTACTTATTAAAGTTTTTGCAATGCTACTTTAACCCATATTTCTTTAGTAGCGTGAAATTATTTCCTTTTTTTTTGCTGATTCAATGAAAATAAAATTATTGGTAGTAAAATGTGAAATTGAAATGTGTGTGTATGTATGTATTTAATCGTGGCAACTTTTTATTGAAATTGATTCGACGCAGTGTCTATATGTATAAAATGGAAAATATTGATTTAGAGCTATGTATGTGAGCTCATGAGACTAAATAAGTACAAAAAAAAAACCGCAAGAGTTGGATATTGGTAAGTGCTTCTTCTTTTTTAATGCAGATATACATTTGTATGTACGTATATATATGTATGCCCATTAGACCGGACCAACTTGAAGCAAACAAATAAAAATGTTCGCGGTACGACCCTGAGAGACTAAAGTTTTTTTTTGCATTTTTCTCTGACACCTACTACATTTTAATAGTTCTACAAAAATAATCGAAATACTTCTTTAGCAAAAGTTGAATGATTTTTTTTTTACTGACCTTAGGGTGGTACGTTAGGGTGATAAGAACTGAGACCTGTTGAGTAAGTACTAAAACTCGGCAGTTGGGGTCGATCAACATCGATATATTGTACGCTAATATCCGATTGTAAATGCCGAAGATATGATTTTAAAAGGCGATCTACGTTCCACTATGGGTAATTTGATCAGCTAATGTGGGTGAAATATTGGAATCGATTTTGTGTTATCCTTGGTTGGCTATTTTCTAACAACTATATTTTCTAACAATTATATTTAATAAAGAGAAAAGTAAGTTATTTTAAAATCTATAACTGTTTTTTTTGTAGAATCCTTTTTTGGAGGCATAACCTAAAATTATTATATTTTTTTTCTTAAGTGATATCTGAATAAGATTTTGAAATATTGGCCGTGTTTAGACTAGAGATGGGCACGGGATATCGGGACCCACGGGACCGGGATGGCCGGTATGGGAAGGTCTTTAAACATTTTCCGAGCGGAACGGGACCAAAATCCTTTCCCGACACTCCCGATAAAACTTGCAACCTCCGAAAATACATAAGTTTCCTTAAAAACGTTTAAGAAATTAGCACTTTTTATGTTTTATTGAGACGAAAACGAGCAGTAAAGCAAAAAAAATTCCAAAGATGCCAGATCTTTCATTGTTTTTTTTTTTTTGTTATTTAAAATTAATTTGAGACATGTGAATTAATCTTAGTTATAGACTTTGGGACCCACGGGATCCGCGGGACAATTCTGAAAAACGTTCGGGATTAAAAAAATTTAGTTTCGGGATGGGCGGATTGGGATTGAATATTAAGTCTCGTGCCCATCTCTAGTTCAGACTATCAAAAACATGCAAAATGAAAAGTGTTGAGTTTAAGCTGTAAATTTCATGTTGCGATTTTTTGCGTTTTCTGAGAAAAGGCAGTTTTGGTAGCTATTATTTATACTGTCCATAGTGAACTACTGATAATTTGAATGGGAGAACTCAATTAGGAGAGAAAACAAACGACTGTTTACCATTTTATTCTAGCAAAGGCTGCTACATTTATCTTTTAAGCAGGGAATTCAGAGCTTGCAGGTTTTCAATTGAAGTTAATATAATTTGCCAAAAATTTTTTCCAATTAGCCGCTGTATAAATTGTATTTGTAACTAAGCGGCATTTTCTGCAAAACTGCATTCAAAGTTTTTCAATAAAACCACAAATTAAAAAGTGACCGCTTTTGACCCATCGGTCGTCAAGGGTTAAAACTTTTTTTTTGCAAAAAGGTGGGAATTCGGATGCCAATCGATAAAAAATCATATTCTTTTGAATAATCTACTTGTTTGGCCACAAAAATGGCTCAAATTACCCTCAGTGCGTTCGGTTAAAAAAAAAAATCTGAATTGCCTTCAAAAAATACTTCCAAGGTGTACGACGAACTTTTTTTTTTCTGGTGCGGTCTAATGTATGTATGTATATATGTATTGCTTTTATTAATATAGCTTAGCGCGAAGCTAACTAAAACAGATATATTCGATGCACTTGAAATAACTTGTATGAGTATTATATGCACGAAGTCGAAACCAGATTAAAATTTCGTGTTCATTATTTTTAAGTGTTTTTAATTAGAGTTACCGGAAATACATCACCAAGTATGCATTTATGTATACCTAAAAATATGCCTATTCATACCTAACGTCGTACGCTATACACCAGCCAAATACTTAACATGAATAATTGGATCGAAAAAATACTTTGTTTTTTCAGTTGTTCTTTATTTATAACAACACCTTTTTCAATAGTGGCACCAAAAAGGGTCTATCTATCCATTAAATAAACAGCGCATATTTACAAACCGCTATTTATGTAGGTTATGTAGATCTAAGGCATTGTATTTAACTTTAAAAGTTTCCACCACGCACAGTGGCCTGAGAGTGGCAAGATAGTTCAAGTTACAAAATGTCTCCAAATAGCCAACTAAGTGGTTTCTTAGACTCTAGACATACCGTGCTGAGAAAATAGGTTATTTTTAATTAATTTTTCTATAGACTGGGCGCTTCACATTGACAGATCCCCATACGGGCTGTGGCAAAAAGTAGTAATTGTGATCCGATTTTACTGTTATTTTCCATGTAGTACCTTTTATAAGGAATTAAGAATTAAAAAAAATGGTTACAGATTGGTGAACTGCCGCGCCCACTGCACAAGAGGGCAGAAATGATAAATGCTATGCGAATTTAATACAATTTGGTTTTTTATAAGGGGATTTTTTTTTGACTGGTGGACGTTTCATTGGGCTGATATTGACCATCTCTTAGACTTTAAAAGTTCTGGTTTAAACTAAATTACAAACCGAATTTTATTCAAATCGGATAACATCTACCATTTCCGCCCACTAGTCTAGTGGGGGGAGGGGGCGGGGGAGCGTGGCAGTTCGCCAATAAATGTAATTTTTTTTTATTCTTCATTCCTAAGCAAAAGTACTGAGATTCTTATAATTTAGCAATATCGGAGCACATTTACTACTTTTTTGCCGCAGCTTATATTGGGATATACCACTGTGCGAGTTGTTTAAAGTTTCTTATGACCAACATTTCCTAGACAAAATGCACATACTAAGAAGGTTAACGTCAGTTTGTTACCGAAATAATCATACAACAAGTTTTTTCATTTGTATCTATCAAGGAGATAGGCAGTGTTGCCGTTTTTGGGGTTAATCTGCCACAACTATTCGGGTTTTTTTTTTTACTTTTAGTAGGTTTGTAGTTTAAAAAGTATTTTCCTAGGCTTTAATCGAACCTACAATTTGTTTATTTTTTTAAATAAATAAAATTGAGAACATTATTTCAAAGTGTAGTAAAAAAAAGAGTAGGTATATGTCTATAGTGTTTTATATTACTACTACATATATACACACAGGCATATGTATGTGTTGATGGAGTATTTGTTTTATCAATTTGTGGAAAAATTTTGCTTTAAAGCACAATATGTACATAGATTACCTTCCTCATAAGACTTTGATGAGTACGGAAATAGCTTTTGCCAGGGACCGAACATAACAGTTATTGATGAAAACTGTCATGGAAAAGTTCACTGTGAAGGAAATGTTGTAAGTTCATTTGGTGATAAATAGGCCATCAGAGTCTTGAACAATTTTACTTAGACGGTTTTAAAGGATACGCTCAGTGATCTATTCTGTCGAGCCTAGCATGCAGAGTGGCCAGAAGTGAGAAGGTTTGGCCAAAGGTTTGTTGGTAGTAGGCTTTTCCATATACATATATACTATGTTTGTATGTAGTAGGAAAGTGTCCTTCTTGAATGCATCTATTTCACAATGCAGTAAGATGCAATAAGAGTTAGATGTAAATATATATGTATATCAATATGCACATCTGTATGTACACACGTGCAGAGAGGGTCTCTGTGAATGTTCTGTACATTTTGTTCTTCTCTCTTTGTTCTTTAAAACACTCAAGTGCAGATAACTATTTACGTATTTTACGTACATACTTACTAGGTACTATATATGTACAATATGTACATATGTATGTATGTGGCTTAAACATCAACACCTGTGCATGCAACGATGCAATCAACAAATGATGGTTCAACATACTTAATGCCTACATAAATAAATATGTATGCACGTACATATCTTTGTGCTCGACAAAACGGTAACCATGCTCTCTTAGTTGTTTGTCTGTTCAAAACTGTACAATGTATGCACATATGCATACATGCATATCCATAATAAATATGTAGCCATGCTGTTGAGCCCAAAAACAGTTTTAACAACACCAACGACTACTGTTAGCCAATTTATAGCAAATTCTCCTTACTACGAGTATGTACTATCTTGGTCCAATAGTGAAGGTGAGCAAAATGTAGGAGATCAATTGCAACTTTGCCATGTACAACATACGTTTATGGCAACTATGTATGTACATACTCGTACGAATGTCCATATGTATTTAGAGATCGTAAAAGTATGCACGTTCCATGGTGATCTATGGTCATGTGCAAAAGTAGATATCCCAACTTTTCATAGTGGCAAGAGAGCCAGGCTAGCCAGCCAGCCAGTCAATGCCGGCCGATTGGATCTGAGTTTCCGTTTAAGTTTCAGCTTCCAGCTGCGGCCTTAACTGTTACTGGCTTAAATAAGTATGTATGTAGAAACCTCAAGATACTTAGGTATCTATGGAATTTTGTACAAACATACATATGTCTGTATTCATCTAAAAATTTACGCACTTGTATAGTATGTATGCACATATGTATGTAGGTATGTATACAGTGGCTTCAAAATAAAGTGGGACAATGTAATTGCATTTTTCTAAAGATACAAAAAAAAAAGCGCCGGTTCGAAACGAAGTCACACAGATCTCTTTGCTCTTTCTATGCTATCTATAAACTGCAACAAACCACAATAATCTGTTTATTCCATCTGTGGTCATTAATAATTGTTTTACTATTTATTCGTTTTAAGGGCAATTGACGCTTATTTTCTATCGGTAAACTGTTTTACTATATAGGGTATCAAAGACCATTCATCCACGCCTTTGTTCAGAGAATCCGAATCTGTAGTAAAAACTGTAGGTTTTTATAAAAAAAAGAAGGTTTTCCGGTCACTTTAACCCACAGTCGCTAATACGACCATAAGACAAAGCAACCCCGACTTGGTAGTTCATATTTTTGTGTTTTTTAAATAAAAAATATTTTTCTCTGTTTTAGATTTGTTTAAAATTTTTAGGATTGATGGACAAACATAAATAATAAATAAATATGAAATTTGAGCTTGATTAATACATTTTTAAAAACTTTACAGCACAAAAACACAAACAAATTGATTTAATAGTATTTCAAATATTTCGAGAACGGGGCGAGGAAAAATTTGAATAAAATCACACATACACACATCAAAATTCTCTATGAAAAAAAAATTTAAATTTTTTTTCAGTTTGAAAAAATTTTCACATACAAACTTTTTTATATAAAAAAATAGTTTTTGAAAATATGTCATCTCAAAAAAATTTTTAAAAAATCACAGAGCTACCTGAGTAATGCGTAGTATTTAAGTATAGTATTATGGCATGCACTCTAGAATAATTTGAATTTTTTTACACGGAAGTTGAGTAAAATGAGTACATATATTACAAATTTACAAATTTTTAAAAGTTTGTTTAGAATTATTTTTGAGTGTAAAGTTTTGTAGCCCATTAAATTTTAGTAGAAAATAGTGCAAGTTTTAAGCAACTGAAAAACTGGCGTTAATTCTATTTTAGTTTTCTTTGAAAACGGTTTTGCGCGTTTCCTTCCATAAGAAAAAGTGTAAAAAGCTGTCAGCATAAAAAATATTAAAAATCTACGCAAAAAAAAATTGTAAATTTGTCATGTACTCATTTTACTCAACTTTGGTGAAAAAAAATTCATAACTCAAATTATTGTAGAGTGTACCCCGTAATAAAATGCTATACTATAAATATTGCGCAATACTCAGAGCTAACATTGTGATTTTTTTCTATTTTTTTTTGAAATGGCATATTTTCAAAAAATAATTTTTTTATCAAAATATATGTATGTGAAAATTTTTTCAACTAAAAAAAATAAAAAAATATTTCTTTTCATAGAGTATTTTGAAGACCAACAACTCTCCTAACGAAGTCTGTGCTACAAGCTCCAGACTGTATAGCCTGTTGAATGTTGATTCTTAGTGAGGCCTTTTATGTCAACTTCTGGCAATTTTACATCGATTCGTCCAGAAAATATGTTAGGTCCAGTAGTAGCATCGTCAATATGTTGCATTACATGTCTGAGAAGTAATTAATTAAAATGAAAATGGTCTGTTGAGCTTTTCCTCCATCTTACGAGTTATACCACCCTTCAGCAACCAACTGCGAGAAGAACCTCAGTGCCACCATGTTGTTCTACAAAATCTGCTGTTTTTTGTAGCAGTACTAGATTTTGGAGTGGCACGGCCCATCACTAACTAAAGCAGCGTTCAAGAGCGATGCTCGCATTTGTTTCCTGGAACTGACAGATATTGCTTTAAAAGCATCACCGCTGCTATAAGATTCATCACAATCATAAACAGAGTCTGATTGAGGCAAGTCATGAGACATACATAGTTGAACTAAACTCAGAAGAAATATTACACGGAGGCAACTTGGACTTCTTTGCCCCTTTTTTATAGTGCTTAATACGCTTTAATGCCCACATTCTCAATCTCCATCCAATGCAAAGTCCTTTGGGCCAGAAGGAATCGTATTTAAAATTTTATGGGCTATAAATCTCCATACCTTAAACTGCTCTAAAAATTCAGAGTAGAAAGTGCGAATTTTGACGAAAATTTTTCGAATTGTTCTAAATGTTGTACACATATAGCTTGAATCCTTGAGTTTTATGGATTTGGCTAAAGTGCAAACAATATTCTTATACAAAAAAAAAAGAAATACAAAAAATAATTTCTTGAGAAACATTGTAAACATTAAAGAAAAATCACCAAGCGGTTTTTCTGAGTAACTATATTTGTCTATAATAACTCCAGTTGAAGTTTTTTCAAATGATGAAGTTTCGTTGTTGCCTCTAGTTTCATCACTTTCGCTTTTGGTTGAAGTAGACTGAGAATATAGCATTAATATGATCTCAAACACCGTATAATTAGCTAAATAAAAAGTTCCTTAAATTAATTTTCATTCTTATTGAAATAAATAAAAAAATTACAAAACTATAGTTTTTATTAAAAAAAAAATAAAAAAATAACGAAACTATAGTTTTTATTAAAATAACTAAAAAAAGTTATTGGAAGATATTTTCCAGATTTGGTAGATTTTTTTTCAAGTGGATGGTAAATATTTTTTTCGCCAGTGGCAACTCTGGCGGCTGAGAAATTGCTTTGAATTTTACAAATTTTTTTCGCTGACGGCTTTTTGCACTTTTTTCCAATTAAGCATGAATTTCTTATGGACGAAAAGGCGCAAGACCATTTGCAAAGAAAATAAAAAAAAATTAACGCCAGTTTCTATATAAATTGTGCTTTTTGTATGGAAAAACCCGCAAAAGCCGTTATAAAACAAAAAAAAACAAAAAATATATAAAAGATCCACGCGATTTTTCAGCCGCTTAAAACTTGCACTTTCTTTATTAAAATTTAGCAGCATACAAAACTGCATACATATTTTGAAAAGTGTTGCCGCCTGTTTGAAAAGTCGAATTAATTTAAATTATACACAAGTTGTATGAAATTTTAAAATATGGGTGCTAAGCGAAAGAGTATTATTAAATTTATAGTATGAACATTTGGAATATTTTTCAGATGTTTGAAGAGGGTTACAACCTTTTAGAAAAGTTAAATTCAAACTTTTTAATAAGTTAGATGCATTACACAAATGCGGGAATCAATCGAAACTGATTTAAAAGGGCTTCATTTCGAAAAGCTGAAATAGTTTGCACAAGATGACGTGGCTCCTCAGCCCATAGAAATTTTTTGATCAGCTATTTGTTCTTCTGACTTCGTTTTATGCTTCATCTATCGCACCTCTTTCATAGATCACTGTTTGTATGTATGTATGTATGTATGTCGGCACGCATAGACACACGTCGACTCTTTGGAGCAGCAACAGCAGCTGTGCAAACCGAAAAATAAAAGGTATGAAATAAGCAAAATGAAAGCTATGCTACAATAATAACAACAACAAAAAAGGTAAAATAAGCGCTAAATAAGAGCATGATGCCGCCGAAACGATCGTCGAAGCTGAAAAAGTAGAAAATGCGGCAAAGACCTGGAGCATTGCGAGCGCAACTCCATCGAGTGGAAATAATGCTGAGTTGCTACGTTGCGACGCACCGACGACGGCTCAATTCTGTCTATGGTTGTTTCATTGGATTGGCGCATTGCTGCTGCTGATGTTGCTGCTTTACGGCTTTGCCGCTCTGTTACTGACAACAATTAGCCAGCAGCAGCTAGCAGCTAGCAGCTAGCAGCCAGCAAGTTGGCCAAAAAGCGGTCAGAGACCGACAGAAATTTTCAGTTTAACCGCGATTGCCAATCGCTTAAGACGCTTTTTTGTAAAGACGACTTCAATTGCATATCGTGGTGCTATCTACATACATATGTATGTAAATACATATTTACAAGTATTTTTCTTTGGTTTTTGAAAGTTTTCTTACGCTACGCTGAAGGCGGCGGACTTGAGTACTACTTAGTCGCGTTTTTGCCATTTTAACTGCATATCTGCTATTGTTGGCTTTCAAGTTCACGTAGTAGCATAACTCGTATGTAATAACAATTAGAATCGCGTTGTAAACGCAAAGTCCAAACACGTAAAATAGCATACATATGTAATGGTAGTAATTATTAAAATGATTAATTAATTAATTAATTCATGGTGCATGTGTAACAAAGCAAATACATTGATGTACATATGTACGTGCGTATGTACATTTGAAGTGTAGTGATTTTTCAATTTGATTTTGATATCTTTAAAGCAAACTGCATGAACAACAAACACATCCGTTTTCTGCGTAAAAAAAAATTTTGAAAATATTTTTGTGTACGTAAAATGAGTTTGGCCGGTGATAAAACGTTCAAGATGAGAATGCGCGACATGGAAAACGCTTTCAAATATCGCCGGATACCATATCCAAAGAGGTAAGTAGTTAACTCCTTTTATCGGGCACATGTTAGATATGCGTGCCCGGGCACGCAAAAACACCACCAAAACAAAAACAAAAAAAAAAAGAGAAATGCTGTGTTACAGGAAATTCGTATCGAAACCCCAAACTGTAGGCGAAACTACGGCTGAAAATTTTTTTTAACAAATACTTTCAATAAAGAAATTGCTTCCTGGTGGTGGCGGCGGCCAGAGTTGCACAACCAAGCAATTGACCAATTTTTCGCGCTCTCACCCGTTCCATTCACAAACCTACTAAACTCGAATTGAAGTCGTCTTAGTTAGAAAGAAATGAAATGAAATGAAATGACTCGCTAGACAAGAGTACAACAAAAAAAAAGAAGCCATACACGTAGAGTAGTTAATAGCAGCGAAATGGTACGCTTGCACTCCTAACATAATGACATTAATAAAAACAACAACAAAAAAAGCTTGTAAAAAAAAGTTAGCTTAGAAAAAGAAAAACAAAAACAACATTTGTAGAAAGCACCAAAAACATATAAAATAAAAGCATTGAAACTACCAAGTGAGTGGCTTGCCGAAGGAGTTGTTCCAAATTGATATCACCTAGTTTTGAATTTAATGAAAAACCGGTATAAATTGTCTTAGACGCACCGCACTTTTTAGCCTAGCTTACATACCTAGATTCACACTTGCATACATACATGCGCGTACATGCGCGTACATGCTCGTTCATACATACATACCGCGATTGACAGTGGTAGGTATCCACTGCCGACAGCACCATTTTCGGGCAAATAAAGTTGAAGTTGGGGCTATTGCAAATAATAATAACTGGTTAGCTATGTAGTGCAAATACTTATGCGTAGATATGTATGTAGATACGTTTGAAGGCGAATGAATGCACACTTTGATGTAAAAAGTGAATTGCATTTGGTAAACCGCCATACAGCCCATAGATACTTGACTCTTTTTAGCTGCGAGATTGCTTTTTAAGATCTTTTTGTTTGTAACTAATATCCAGATGGGTGAAATTTCTTCATTATCTACAGCCTCTGTTGCGGTGGCGCTGAATTTTTTGTTTTTTATGGTTTTTGGATTTAATACACTCGACCACCTGACTTAGTGCGGGTCAATTTATTTTTATAATACCGCATAATTTAAAGTTTTGTACGCAAATAATAACAGCAAATTTAATATGCTGAGGGTAGGTTGACTGTGGTGGTGAGCGAGCTGATTGACTGCGTGATTGACTCACTAGGCTGGGTCGATTTTGTATGGCATAAAAGAAAGGCATTTATGATGTCTTAGGGCTTAGCCAATTGTTATTGGCCACGAAAGATTAATTTAAAACTTATCTTTAGCCCGCGAAATTGAATCAAAGTGTATGATTTTTAAAAATAAAACTTTGGCTTGTAATATCTATGGAATGCGTTAATTGTGGCAAACAGGACGATATATTAAATTAAGGGTTATTAAATTTAGTACCTCACGTTCATTTATCATTTTTCAATAAGTCTAAAATTTTTTAAGATATTAAGATAAAACCTACAAAAGCTATAATTTTCCCTTATGAATTTTCAATTCTTCATTACTTCAGCAACCAAGTGAAAAATACAAAAAAGTGAGACGAGATTTATTTCAAACGTTTTAATGTTTTCGGATGCTTATGTAATATTAAAAGGACCATGGATTTGGTCACGCCGATTTGGTCAGTTTTCAAGTTGGAGGTGAATGAAGTCAAACATGTTTGATAAGTTAATAGTAGTTTCAAGCACATTATTATTTACTTACATTAATAAAATGCAATTAGGGTTAGAAACGCCCATTTTACGTCCATTTATGCAGTCTTGAAAATTGGCGCGGAATGGTCACCGAAGAAGCACATTTTTCGCGGTTTCTAAATTTTGCCGTTATATGAAAGTAGGGGACGTGCAATAAGTGTTTAGATATACATACATAAATATTTTAGTTAATTCCATTATGTGAAAAAGTGACTGTAGGTAAATGCAATAGTTTTTAACATATCCTGGGAAATCCTTTTGAGGACTCTCCAATTGGACGATATTGCTTTGCATTCAGCTTGAACGAAAAATGTCACTGCTTGGCACACTTTTCTGTAATCCGGTTCTTTCATTTGAAAGTAATTTATACATACAATTGAATTGAAATTAAAAAAAAAAACTGGAGATCCACTTAAGTTTTTCGTTATAACTTTGGTAAATGTTACTCGATCGGTACGTAATCGTTACTGATTTATGATAATAATATGATAAAAATCGTTCAGATTATAAAAAAATTATTTAAAAAACAAAAAAAAATGTTAAATAATTTTTTTTTGTCATTTTCCTATATTTGAAATTTTTTATTGTATTTATAAACATATGAAAACTAATTAGTGTTTCCAGAAGTTGTGCCTGTTTAGTGTTTCCATACTCATTTGCATAAACAAAATTTTCCCACCACTATGCAAAATAATGGCTTTTCCATTGGAGCAACCGAAATTGTTGCTAAATTTACAAAAATTCGCAAACTATAGCTAATAATAAAAAAAGATTAGAATATTTGGAACCAGCGATCCAAATGCACCCCAGTAATATCAATGCTGTTCTTTATATCTTTTGACTATAGGCCAGGGCAATTATCAAGAGAACAAATAAAATCTTATTGAAGAGAGATAACTTTGAGATTAACGACAAGCTAAAGGGCTGCGAGAAATGATATTTGACTTTATCAAACCTTTTTGCTGAACCCAGAATTTTTAACAGGAATTGGCCTTATTCGACTAATGTGCTGTGGGTCAATTGGCGGTCGATACGCTCTTACAATTTCTACGAAAAAATTTATTTTTCCCATATAAAAATACATGGAAAACTTTGAGCGCTTTGCGCGACCTCTAAATATTTTTTAATTTCAAAATAAAAAATAGGGGTCTACTTTTTTCGATATAGAACACTCCTAGGGGGTGAGAGCATTACAATTCCTACTTTACTCTTTTTGGACCACCCTAATGTAGCCATTAGTAGATGGTGCCACGTCCAAATAAACGTTGATGGCACCTTTCCTGGCCAACTTCTCCGCAAGGCGATTCCCTGCACAGTCATTGTGGCCCGGCACCTAAAAGAGTCTGACCGGCGAAAATTCCCTTGCCAAAGGTCGAACAGTTTAACAGACATTCGACTGCTTCCATAATGCTATCTCTGCCTGAAGCTGGCGCCCTGCATGAAAGAACCAACCACCGACACTTCCGTCAAGCTTCGACCCATCTGTGTAGAAATTCAGCTTAAACATTTTAACACTATTTAAATTTGCAGTTAATATTTTGAGCAAAAGTAAAAAGCCAACAAAAATGCTAAATAATTTTAAGAAATAGCTAAGAAAAAAGAAGCTAAACAGGATTTTTCCGGCTAACCGGAAAATAGCTCGCATGGCAACACTGGTTATCATATTGTTGTAAAATTGTTTGTTGTGGTTCCAAGTTGTTTAAACCCAGACGCACTTCTTAACCATCCGATAGTATTCGCTGTTGGACGAATTTCAACAAAATATTTGAGCAATTGTTTATGCTACAAATAATAATTCAACTTTTTAATTTAAATATTTGTAAAACATACTGGAACATTAAAAAGAAATGCCAGTTGTTTATGAAATATCATCAAAAAAGGTAATGCAAAAATGTGGTACAATTTGTATATTTCTTATTTTTTTGGAATTTTTGAGGTAAATAGTATATGGCAGTATATAGTATATAGGCATATGCCGCTAATTTTTGTATGATATTTTTTTTTGCGTTAGAGCACTTAAAAAAAAAGGCACAACCTTTCATACACTTTGTTAAATTGGTTTTGGGGAAAACCCGGTTTCGGCGTTTTGCCATCTTCAATGAGATTTTCTTTAGTTATTTTTTAGAGTTATGATTCCACTTTGCATTATTAATCATATATTTTTACATTGTTTTCTCTCACACATTATTATTTAAAATAGAGCGTAATAATTTATAATATAAACCTTAAATTGATGTGCGCCTAGTAATGGAAAATTCTTGGAAAGTAAAAAAAATTAGACATGGTAGTTGGAAAATCGTTAACGGTTAATATTTTGGTACATTAGACATGGGTTGTTTAATTGAAGTGGCGAGTTTATTAACTTCAATTACAACTTATACGTGCCGTCTTAAACCACTACTCGCACTTTGAACTGAAAAGAAATTAGCATAAGTTAGTTTGTTGTTGTTTGCGACAGGATGTAAAATTTCTCGGGCTAATATCACTTATTTATATTAGAAGGCAGTAGAAGGTTTTACCTAGACATCTGATTCTAGTCCTGTACATACAGTGCTGGGCAATTATAGAGCAGATTGCCTGCCATTTCCTCTGCATCTGGTGAATTACACGACAAACACGACAAAAAGTGTTTTATTCCAGTCCTAGTCTTGCAGCATCGATTCCCAGGGATCAGTGCCTTGTGTAAACGTCAGTTAGTCGAGATAAATCTTTCTTATTCAGTTTGATGAGAAATCCAGTGCGTTTTGCGCAGACTCCTACATGATTTGTAGGTCTTCCCACCTACTGTTAGCGACCTTTTTCCAACGCTGAGTGTGGTGATCCTTGAGCAGAGGTGCAAGACCTTTCTGCCCCTGAGGCATTTAGCGACGACCCCTTTCTGGCTAGCTCCTCAGTCATATCGTTGCAAGGAATGCTGCTGTGCCCGGCATCTAGATCAGTGCAACAACATGCCTATCAGCTAAGTGATAAAGTTCTCTCTGCATTGTTTTATAATGGTGGAGGTGTGCCCTGATCGCTGCCTGGCTATCCGAGAAAATAGCAATGCTTGTCCCTACTATCGTTGCGGCTAAAATTATTTTGAATGCCTCTTTGGCAGGATGCGGTAGTTGAAAATACTCTCCGATGTGGAGGCCACTTAAAAAAATTAAACAATGAGAAAAGGTTAAGAGACGTGGGAATGTAGTGGTCAATAGAAAAAAAAACTAGCTCAGCATGCTTTGAGATCCCGAAAA